TGGGGATGTGCTCCAATATTCGGTACTCTAGCGTTTCTGTGAAGGTCATTTTGTCGCTCTTCAAGGATCAACGACACTTGATCGTACAGCTCTTCGAATGCAGCATAGTGCTCATCCTGAGCGAGCCGTCCATCTTCGTTAAGCAGTGCAAGGACTTTGTCATGGAGATCGTTATACTCCTGGTACGCAGATTCCACCTTGCGCTGATGGACTTTAACTTGGGCCTCTGACAGTGCAGGAGGCTCATCATTTGGTGGATTAATGGCATTCAAAACTTTGGTTACCTTACCTTTTGCAAGGCCTCGACGGTGGACGAGTAGATTGACCTGCTCCATGTTCTTCAATTTTTCTTGCAGATTCTGCTTCTTCTTTTTGCTTTTGCTCTTCGGGGTTGTGGTATCCAGATTCACCTGCCCAAGTGCAGTGATTCCAGACGTACTTGAAAGATCTTTTGGATCAACCTTAACTTCCGACATGTCACTGGGGACACATGATCACTTCAAGCCTTCAGTTTAGAATGAAAGCAACCAAGTTTGCTATCATCTAAGCACTTAACACTTATTTTCATCAGCACGCTGGTTTACTTGTGCGCACTATTCTTCACCGTGACCACTCTTCTTATTCAACTTCCACTAATGGCCACGGCATAATAGTCTTGCTTGCCAACTATTACAAGATGGCGAATTCACTACGTCTTCAAGATGGCGGCTGTGCCTAGTCTTCAAGATGGCGGCTCAGCACACGTATTTTGTTTAACGAGTATGACGACCGCTGATCATCTTGCACTTCTTTTTTTTCACAACGTCTTTATATCCGATCCGGCAGAATTCGCACTTCTCTTAATCCACTTAATTGTCCGGTTCGATGGACCAAATTTATGTTGGATCAGTGTAACACAACGGAATCTTTCGGATCGAATCTGACAACACACTCAAGTTTCTATTTACTACATATATTGATTAATTTAATTAGCTGTGCCTTAATGCACCTTTCACGTCGGCGTTTGAAACTCGAATGGCGGGCGATCGAATTCCGGCTGGCTGCTGCTGCTCTTCACTCGTCGTCCTCCTTCCCTTTCTTCCACTCTCCACACATTCGATTGGTACGAAAAGGTTGGTAGTACCGCTGTTATTGCGTGTGGAGACAAATCGCAGTAGTCGGGGGTTCGGTCGCTTTCACTTCCCATAAAACATTCGAGCTGTCACATTGTAGCTCGAACAGTTAGCAACTCTCTCAATAACAGGTGCAATGAGAAGTACACCATCGAAGGCATTGGATGCTTTGCTTTATATGCTACTATTGCACCAATTTGTACAATTAGAAGCCGAAATTACAAGGTCAGTGAAACTCTTTGAAGGAGACTGTCGTGAACTCCGGCACTGTGACTGCGACTGCACTCCGCGTAGCTCAGCATCATTTACATGCGTCCACACTCTTGAAAAGTATTTTCCAAACTGCCTATCGGGTCGAACCATCGTCGACACGAAGCTCTAATGCTATTCCTCTCTCTTTCTCTACATCTCATCATTTCTTCTCTTTTCTTCGACGTTTCATGACAGTTAGCCACCGTATGGGATTCGGTACCTTTAGCCATAAACTGTATATTGGCATAAACATACAAATCCAAATACTTAAATTGCAATATATTTTGAATTCTATCAACCAAACGAACTTTTTTTTTTTTTAGCAATTAGACTAAACAATTTGTTGTAGCAATTTTTAAGTGCAAAAGCAACTTTTTTTACGAAAGCGTACCGTTTTTCCAAATTAATCATTATTGACTACTATAATCCCTACAGAGACCTTAGAGGACATCTTAGGATTTTAAAAACTGTTAGTATCAACTCTCTAGTAAGGAACAACGAAGACTGGATGGAGAAAAGATACAATTTCAATCGACTTTTTCAACTAGTTGACCCTGGGAGCAGGAGTAACTGATGTAGAGTGTTCCATTAAATGTTTGCGTAGAAACTATAAGAGTTCAAATATATGCGTCATGTCCGACAGTCAAGCTGCTCTAAATGCTTTAAAGTCGGCGACATGTACATGAAACTTGTCTGGGAGTGTGTTCAATCACTTCAAAAATTGTCTTGTCATAATCAAGTCAACTTATATTGGGTTCCTGGTCATTGCGGGATTGAGGGAATGAAAGAGCTGATGCACTAGCAAGACTCGAATCTTCTCATAAGTTCATCGGGCCAGAGCCCTTTTGTGGCTTATCGGCTGCATCTCTTAGAATGGAGCTAAAAGCGTGGGAATCTTCAAAAGTGGAGGAAAACTGGAAGAACACCTCTATTGCTAGGCAGTCGAAGCGATTCATTAATCCAAACATTTCTGTGACCCACAAAATGCTGGAACTTTCTAAGAAAGATCTTAGTATATATGCAGGTCTTATAACAGGTCATTGTCCGAGCCGTTATCACTTGAAGCTGATTTAATCTGTCAAACTTTCATAGCGAATCAAAGTAAACATATTGTAGTACTGGAATTTATACTAGAATGGGGTACGTTAATCGATTTGCTTGGGACCAATAGGCTAGTCAAATAGTGAGCCAATTTAAAATCGTTAGTTTCGAATTAATTGTTGGTATAATGCTGTGCTGAGATAATGCTATTAGTCAAACGATGGCGATCACTCCTAATAATAGTGATACGGCATCTTGATATAGCTAAAGAAAAAAATGGGGCATATATCACAATAGATCAGAAAAATGGTCGCAGTGATGAAAATACCCGACAAGGAAAAAAGAAAGGGGTATTCTGTAAAATAGTTGAAAAACGCAAACATTAAATTAGAATATCCAATGAAACAAATATGAAGAGTTAAGTAGGCTAATCCATTGAGTGTATGTGCAGTAATCTGCTTGGTAGAATTAACACTCGCGCAGCTATTTTTTAGCATTCAAGTATAGCTATTTTGCTGCTGGCTTCAGTGAATGAATTTTCTCATGATTGATTCTTTAAAAATCGGGCCAAACCACAAATTTTTGCAATAATTGTTTTCGCAACCTTCATAGAAACAGATAAACCAATAATTTAAAGTAATAGCTAAAATCGCATTACTTTCTGATTCTATAGTACTTAAGTGCCCTTCAGGGCTGGAAAGCGCCTCATAGCGTTTGTAAAGCAAATTTCTGCATGCATCAAACAACAAGCAACTATTGTCTTCTTTAAGTTCTTTGTAGACTTTGCCTACCACAATTGCAGGAGATGAAGAAGTGCATAACGAAGAATTTTGTATTTTTGCTGGGCTTCATATTTGCAACCCTATAATACTTAGTAGCGCTTTTGCTTCGAAGCCGTCGGATCGATGGCTACTCATTGAGTTTTCGTTATTTCTGCTTCCGCCGGTTTACACTTACTCAAGTAAAATTTGTGTTTGCTTAATTCTCACTTTGTAGATTTCAGAAAACCAGTACATTGCATGCGTCGAGTGATCAGATGACAGCCCTTGTGCCCTTATTGTAACTCAAATTCAAATGTATTGTAAACTGGCGCAAAAGTGACTTAATCGAGCTACATTTTAATGTATTGGTAACAATTTATATAGAAATCTATAGAAATGCATTTATACAAAATTATCTAAATAGGCTGAGGCTCAATAAATGGCAGTGGTTTGTCAAGCTTAGCAGCGTTGTTATTACAATTTATAAAAGTTATATGATTTTAAAATCTTATAGTAATCAAAACTATGTTTAAATAAGATCCTAAGTAGTTTCTATTAACTTTCGTAATGATTTAAAATGCGTGGAAATTAAATTTCAATTAAATTGATAGAAGCATTGAAACTTATTATAACAAATAGTCAGTTGTTCTCTAAAAACATGATTTATAAAATCGGGATTCTTTTTTTATATTGACTAGAAAAACCGGGAAAAAACTATGAAATCAAAATTCAGTTGCCACCTTCCCTAATAAACAAATACCATAAACGAACTGTATTCCGGATGGGCAAACTATCCTACAAATGGTTTGGATGATACCCCGAACACGTCGTTAAGCTCTCTTTTATGATTATTTTTATTAGGGTTGTCAATTGAATCGGCAGTGTGCCTATCTATGGTGGATTCAATGCAGACAGTTTATATATAACGATAACGTTAGGAGCGCATTTAATAGCGCTAACTAGGAAGCCATTGCTGAATCATTGCACATTCTGTATTAGGATCACTTAAGATGTTCACAAGCCTCCATCCTTGGTCCAACGCTATTGAAGCAACGGTTCCCTAATAAAAATTGTATGGTTAATTTGCTTAACGACGTGTTCTGGGTATCATCCAAACCATTTGTGGAATAGTTCAATGATTTGGGTTATCGTTCGTTTTTGGTTATTTTTTACTAGGGTTTCCCCGGGAAAAGATTACTTTTTTCTTTATGTAGCGATTTTCCTCAAAAAATTGATAATTTTGCAACCTTGTCAATTCTTACTTCAAAAAAAGGTTGGCAAACCCTAATAAACAAATACCATAAACGAACTGTATTCCGGATGGGCAATATATCCTACAAAAATCTCCGAACACGTCGTTAAGCTCTCTTTTATGGTTATTTTTATTAGGGAAGTTTCACTGCAAGACTCCATTGGATTCACACACATAAAAATCTCTACCGTTTTAGCACAGTGCACGTGACATAGTAATGTCACATGGACTCGGTTGACCTAATCATTGTATCATCAAACATCGCAGCGAACGCTTGGTTTATGTAGCATGAGGGCTAGGCAAAAACGAATTTGAAATCGATTTCATCCAACTGCTGTCCATTAATTCGATTCTTTTTACGATTTCTTTAGAAATTGATCGAAAATATAAGACTTTTCCGCAATTTTCGTTCGTTAATATCGTAAATATTCCCACGCATGCCAAAATGTGCTACCGAGAAGACTTCTGATAATCAACTGCTCCCATAAATTCGAATCCAATGGCAACACTTTCGATTTTTCCACCCTTTTCACCACACTACATCCCCCACCCCCTCACAGAGGAGTATAGAAGTGAACGCTTTTTCTTCTCCGCTATTTTTCATCCGATTTCTGCTGTCAAAAATCAAGAATCGGTTCGGTGGTTCGGTCGGTTCGCTCTTCTCGCTCCTCCCCGTCAGAGTGGTGGTTAGACAAAAAGAAATCCTTTACGCAAGGAAAAATATTCACCCCTTTTATCAAAGTGCAGGAAAAGTGGATTCCTCTTACAAAACTGTACAACTGCAGGCAGATTTGTGGCCGTCGTATAAACAATAATCCCTCCATAAACGGTGCAATGCGGTGCGTGTGACAAACAACCGGACGGGCTAAAAAGAAGGAGCAGGAGCAACCCGAATCGTCTTCGGACTAGTGCTAGTGTCCGCGGTTAGTGTGGATTTTAGTTTTGCTTTACGTTATTTACACGTGACGAAGAAGGAACAATAACATTGGTGCAGTGAAATCCAGTCCATAAAGTGCACTAGCAGCATCAATAGCAGCTGTTTTCCTTGTATAGTATGTATGATTGCATCTCGGGATCACGCGTTACATCCTTTTTCCCGGTTCCATCATCAGCGAGATTAGCGCTTTTAAATATAGTTGGGATTACCTACGTACACAAGTGATAAGCGTTATCTCCCCCTTCCGACGGACAGAGTGCTAAAAAGTAGCAATCTCTGCATCTGCTGCCTTGCCATCAGCGCGAGATGAAGCGATTGTCTGCATAGCTGATTTGCAACCAATTTGCTCGCGCTCGCTTCTCGTCGTCGTCGCCGTCGTCTTCCCTGTGAAGCAAGAGAACCGCGCGAGGGAAGGCAAGTGAAGGTCGTTCGGAAGCAGTCAACTGCGAAGAAAAGGCAGGAGGAAAACAGCTGGCAGGACACCCAGCCCCCGGATCGGTCTCCGATGAAATGTGGATAAACGAAAGTGCTATGGTTTTTGCTCGTGATTTAGTTACACGTTGAATTTACCTCTTCAGTTCGATTTACTTCCATTTATTGACTTCGGGAAATTGTCGTTTTTGTTTTTGATCATTGTTTTCGTGAGGAAAGTTGCCACTATTTAGTTGTTGTTGTTGTTGTTGTTGTTGCAAGCGTTTATTCAGAAAGTAATCAGTTCGTGGTAGGTACTGTGGGATATCCAAAATCAACAACCATGCGGGTCGTGGCACTTGTGAGCGGTGGCAAGGACAGCACCTACAACATGATGCAGGTAACGGCAGAAGGGCATCAGGTGATCGCCCTGGCTAATCTGCATCCGAAAGATAAAGGTAATTTCGATAAAATTTAATGCAAAACTTTTAGTTACCAACATTTTTTTTATCTAATCTTTTTCCTTTGTAGACGAACTAGATAGCTACATGTACCAGACGGTGGGCCACCAGGGCATCGAGAAGCTGGCCCAAGCCATGGAACTGCCACTATACCGGAAGATCACACGGGGAAATTCGATCAACACCAAGGGAAACTATGAACCGACGGAGGACGATGAGGTCGAGGACCTGTACGATCTTCTGCGGCAGGTTAAGGAGGAGCAGAACGTCGAGGCTGTTGCCGTTGGGGCTATCCTTTCGGACTACCAGCGTGTGCGTGTCGAAAATGTGTAAGTAAATGAAGCCTTAAATTCTCTGTGCTGCATTTCGGGTTTTTCTTTTTTTTTTTGCTTGCGTCAACAGTGATGTTGCGAAAATCATCATCAGATGGATAATCATTTCGTTTATTGTTTATTTTCCACTTAGTGTATCTGTTGGGATACATGAGTGCAACACATTTCGCAAACACTTTCAGTGTGATATGTTCTTCCTAAAGTAGTACGTTCCTACAGGAAATTATGCCTGCATGGTAATATAAAGATGGTAATATTGTAGCACTTCTACAAGTCTGAATTTGTAAATTGTTTGGCATATTGCTTGCTGCCAATGACGTTATTTGGCCTACATCTCCTTGATGTTTCCTAATGTATCTACAAAGTATAACGAACTTCCACTCTCAACTTGATTAATTTCTATCAACCAAAAAAGGTGAGTCAAATATTTGTGAAAATGTCGATTCTGACTGCTGCATTGCAATTGCAGCATGCTCAAAAGCATACTATGTAGGGGAAATATATGTCATATTGGCCTAAATGCCCCTAATTTGGGTTCATACATAAATTCAGCAATCGACTCAATTTTCAATAGCGACCAAAAATATCCATTAGGACCATCCCCATGACGCGTTCTTCTAGATAAAATTGATAAATAGCAGATTTTTAGCGATGGGCCCAATCTTAGATCCATAGGAGGCCAACATTGGAGCCATTTCCCCTACCAATAATATAATTACATTTAATACCAGTGGGGTAGATCCCTCCCCTTGGCTATTTTTGCACCTTGCTGCTGGTAAACATGCTTAATTTCAATGGAGTGTTGGAGACGGTAGGTTTATGGCCGGCGGACACTGATGATTCTCCCTCAAACTTTTTTAAAGTATAAGTTCAATAAAGTTTACTTTTAGTTCTCCGATTTTTTTGTGAAGCTCTTCGTATTTTTATGAAGTTCCCAAAACGTCTGTAAAATTCTCAAATTTTTATTAAAACCTCTTAACTATTTACTATGAAGTTCTCTCAACATTTACGAGAAACATCTGTAAATGTTGAAGAGTTGAAGCAAGCAATGGAAATGCAACATCATTCCGTTGCTATGTATTTTCCTTAGCAACTACTATATTATACTGACCTTCAATAAAGATTTTCTTCATTAGGAGGTCAACCATCAACTTGACTAGTATTCCAAAGTTATTTCTCCCTAATAGCGAATTCGTTTATTATCGGGGTTGGAACCAGTTCCAGTGCGAAACCGAACTTTTTGCCAGTGCGAACCTCAACCTGAGCTGGGTTTTAAAAACAAACGATCAAACTGACGTTTGTCAGAAAACAAACAGACCCAATCTTGATACCCGATCCAGGTTGGAACTGAATAATAAACAAATTCGCTATAAGAGTCTAATCCTTCGTCGAAAACCTCGAACAGGTTATGGTCCCAAACGGAAGTTCCTGATCGGAAAATGGAAGTGTTTTTCTCGAAACGACAGAGGGTGCAAAAATTGTCCAGTTGACCAATTCGAACTATCAAGCATGGTCGTTCTCTGTGAAAGCGTTGCTGCGGAGGGAGCAGCTCTGGAAACATGTGGAACCAGGTACTCCTGCGGCACCGATAACGAACGCTTGGAGGGACGGCGATGAGAAGACGTTGGCCACGATTCATTTGATGAGAAAAAAATTGAAAAGGATGAGAGCCAATAAAGACTGATTAGTGACAAAACGACCGCGAAGCACACTTGGACGACTCTCAACGAGAAGACCAAGATAGGGCAGCGAGTGACCCTACTTCGGCATATCACGAACCAGAACTTTAAGGTAGGGGATAACATGGAGAACATGGTGGAAAAATCGTTGCTGGTGAGTGATAAGCAGCACAACGCCGACTGTCTGCACGCGTGGCATCGAAGACTAGGTCACAGAGATCCGGATGTGATTGGAGAGATTGAGCGACGTGGTTTGACCTCAGGGCTGAATGTCAATGATTGCGGAATTCGGCGGGCTTGCACGTGTTGCGTCGAAGGGAAGATGACACAGCCATCGTTTCTCCAAGCAGCCGAGAAAAAGTCAAAAGCGGTTTTAGATATCGTGCACAGCGATGTATGTGGTCCTATGATGACATCGCCAGACGAGTGCCGGTATTACATGACGATAATTGATGATCATAGCCGCTATGTTGTCGTCTATTTCTTGAAGCAAAAGTCCGAAGTTGCCGAAAAGATCCGGCAAAGAATCCGTAAGTATTCGTGGTTCACTGAAACTCAATTCGAGCGGAAACCGAAGGTCATCCGTTCAGACCGGGGTGGTGAGTATACCAGCAATGCCATGCGCAAGTTTTACGCAGAAGAAAGAATTAAGGCTGAATGGATATGCCCCACCAGTGCTGATATTTGTCATTGTCATTGACAGACTTTTGCGCGATATTGACAAAATTGTTTGTCACATAGTCAATGATAGACTTGATTCTCAAAAAAATCTTTGTCAAAATCTCATTCATTTTTTCGTCAATGACAAACATTCACCTGGTAACAGAAAGGGTAATTTCTTGCATTCTGAGTCACATTATTGTTATCCAAGCTGTTCAGGACGTATATGCTTGTTCACTTTAATGGCTCCATGTGAATGTTTTCCTCAAGACATTAAATTTCATTTTAAATTTAGCTAATAAACAAATCAGCACATGTTCGTCACTGACAAAAATGCCACTGACAATTGACATGGTTTGCCTTGACGATGACTGTTAGCTCAAACGAGTGACCAAAGCAGAATTTTGAGTATCACCGTGTATTGTCGAAATTGTGCAGAACTGTGCCCCACAACAGAACGGCGTAGCTGAAAGAAGAAAAAAATAGGACGTTCAAAGAGATGGGATTTTTTATGCTGTTGGGTGCTGGTTTATCTCGTCGTTTTTGAGCAGAAGCTGTGAATATCGCGGCGTATACCAGAATCGACTGCCATCATCAGCGATTGGATCGACGCCTTACGAGATATGATTCGGCACCAAACCCAATTTGCAGCACTTGGAGGTGTTCGGTTGCAGTGCATACGTGTGGATTCCGCCACAAAAGAGAAAGAAGTTTGAAGGAATGTCAACCAAAATGACCTTTGTCGGATACGCATCGGACAGCAAAGCCTATCATTTGCTGAATAAGTCTACTGGTCAGATAGTCATCAGTCGTGACGTACGATTCTATGAGCTCGATGAAGAGGATAAAAACGTGAGAGATGGAACCATCCGTAACCTATCAGGTGAGTCCCAAAACGAAGGCGAGCACATTGCGGTGCGATTGTTCGATTGCGGACCGAATGCGGCAAAAGGTGAAGAATCTTAAGACGAAGATGATTTTTTTCGGATTCGACGAAGATGTTGAGGATGATCCCGACGAGACAGTGCCAATACAGGAGGAGCAAGCTGTGGTAATTCCAGTTGGTCGTGATGATGTGCGGCAGTCACAAAGAGCGAACTTCGGAGTCCCACCAGCGCGGTACAACGATACGATTGGTCTGGCTGTGAGCTCGTGCAAATAGTCAAGAACGTATAGTAAAGCGATTGCGAGCCCGGAAAGCGGAAAGCGGCCATGAACGAGGAAATGGCATCCCTTCGTGACAACGAGACATGGACCCTTACCAAGGTACCCCGACATTATAACGTGGTTGGCTGCAAGTGGCTGTACAAGTGTAAGGAAGATGAGTCCGGGTAGATTGTGCGATACAAGGCCAGGTAGGTCGCACAGAGGTTTTTCCCAAAAGTACGGTACTGATTACGATCAGGTGTTTTCACCGGTGGCAAGCACATTGACATCAAGACCGCGTACCTGTATGGCGTGCTGCAGGAGGAGATATTCATGAAGCAGCCGCCGGGGTACTTGAACGGCGTTCCAGATACCGTGTGCTCCTTGAAGCGGAGTCTATATGGGCTCAAGCAAGCTGCGCGAGTTTGGAACCAGCGGATTGATATGGCATTGCAAGATATGGGATTTCATCGATCATCGGCTGACCCGTGTCTCTATTTGCGAATTCTGGACGGTGTTTACACGTACATATTGATTTACGTTGACGATATCGTTATTGTGTGTATAACGGAGCAGGAGTATCGGAGACTGGTCGTAGCTTTGAGCAAGCACTTCAAGACTGCGGAACTGGGTGACTTGAAGTTTTTCCTGGGAATCCACGTTCGACAGGAGGCAGACATGTTCGTTTTGAGTCAGAAATCGTATGTTCTAAGGATGTTGTCGAGGTTCAACAGGGAGAATTGCAAAGTCTCTCGCGTTCCGATGATCAGCGGTTTCGTACAACAAAAGGAGGAGGATAGTGAATCATTGGCAGAAGGACAACAATACGATTCTTCTGTGCCTACTCCCGTTACACTTGCTTGCAACGAACCGGTCTCAGATGCTAATAACAAAAAACTAAGGGTGTACTACCAGAATGTTCGAGAAGTGCGTACGAAGCAGCTGTAGAACCACTCTATTTTCTTGATGCCGATCATCCCGCTTTTGAAGTAACTATTAGTCTCGCACAGCCTACTGAATTTGAGAGTTTCCTGGACGAACCTGGACTTGACTTTCACCGCGCTGATTTTGGAGGATTACTTGAAGCGCTTTGCTAAACTGACTGGCACATCCTTGAATCCGCTGAAGATATTGACATTGCTGTAGAGTACTTCACCAGTGTTTTGAAGAGTTACTGGGTTGATTTTGTTCCCCTGCGCAGGTCATCTTCGAAACCACCTTGGGGAAATATACATTTACGACGACTCAAACGTCTAAGTTCCAAAGCACTCCGAACCTACTGCCAGTCTCGTTGTCCTTTTTCCAAGCAACATTTCGCACGTGCTAGTAACAATTATCGCACGTATATCCGTTATCTGTACAAACGCTACTGCAAACGAACTCAGGAAAATCTACGCAGACATCCACGACATTTTTGGAAATTTGTCGACTCTAAATGGAAGGAGAATGGGTTACCCGTTGCCATGTTTCTGGGCGATGAAGCCGCCACCTCCGCTTTGGAAAAGTGCAGATTGTTTGCCACTCAATTTAGAAGGGCATTTAATGATTCTACGTCGTCTGCACGTCAAATCACAGAAGCTTGTAGAGATACACCTAGTGGGGTCTGTTCTCTGAGAAGCTTTGCGATCACGTCGAATCAGGTGGACTCCGCAAAAAACAAATTGAAATATTCTGTGTCCAGTCCAGATGGCATACCGTCATGCATCCTGAAAAAATGCGGCGAAGAGTTGATTTTCCCTCTTACGACACTTTTCAACATATCATTACGGAAGCTGCAAGCTGGAAAACATCGGTCATGTTCCCCGTGTTTAAAAAGGGGGATCGACAGAACATCGAGAATAACTTCATTGTGTGCTTGTTCGAAGGTTTTCGAAATCATAATTAATGATTTCCTCCTGCAAGAATTATATTTCTACGGATCAGCACGGTTTCTATCCCAAAAGATCAACATCTACCAATCTCGTCCAGTTTACTTCGTTTTGCATACGCAACATTGATGCTGGTGCTCAGATCGACACCGCATACACTGATTTGAAATCAGCTTTCGATAGAGTTGACCACGGAATATTACTGAAACGTCTAGGAAGAATTGAAGTCTCTGCGGATCTTGTTAGCTGGTTTGGATCATACCTTACGGATCGTAACCTCACCGTTAATATCGGATTTGAATCTTCGGAACAATTTTCAAACTTATCTGGCGTGCCACAGGGTAGCAACCTGGGTCCTTTGTTATTCTCACTCTTCATCAACGAGCTTTCTCTCGTACTACCATCTGGCTGCCGTGTGTTTTACGCTGATGACGTCAAAATATACATGATCATTAAAGGTATCGAGGACTGCTATGCTCTACAACTGCTGCTGAATAGTTTTGCAGACTGGTGCACCCGGAACATGCTGACGTTGAGCATCCACAAATTTAACGTTATATCGTTTCATCGCAAGCTCAACCCGATTACGTATGATTATTCAATTAATGGTCAGTCCCTTGAGCGTTGTCTTCAAGTTCGTGATCTTGGTTTCATCCTGGATTCAGCGCTGACCTTCCGATCGCACTACAACGATATTATCTGTAGAGCCAACCGACAGCTGGGATTTATGTTCAAAATATCCTGCGAATTTACTGATCCTCTCTGCCTCCGGTCTCTGTACTGCGCACTGGTGCGATCGATTCTGGAATCCAACTCTGTAGTATGGTGCCCGTATCAGTCAACCTGGACTGGTAGGATCGAAGCAATTCGGAGAAAATTTGTGAGATATGACCTACGACGCCTTCCGTGGCGAGATCCGTTAAACCTACCACAATATGGAGATCGATGCAGATTATTGGGACTGCAGACGCTTGAGCAGAGACGGAATGATGCCCAAGCGGTGTTTGTAGCTAAACTTCTCACAGGAGAAACTGACGCACCGGAGTTACTAGGTCAACTTAACCTTTACGTTCCTGAACGATTACTTCGCCAACGGAACTTTTTGCTGCTTGAGCCCCGCAACTCCTTGTACGGCCTTCATGATCCTGTCCGCTTTATGTCGACTAGGTTCAACGAAGTCTACATCCTCTTCGACTTCAACTCTACTGTGGCAACATTTAAGCGTAGACTGACTGAATTGCATTAATGGATCGAGTGAGATTCGTTATTGTGAAAGGCTACCTGTATCCTTTTTTTTTCTCGATTCACCACTGCCGACGAGGATTGCTTCGGATGATGGATGTCCAATGGAGCTGATAGAATTATAATTTTTTTATGTTTTTGACTACTGTTGATATTTGAAGCCATGTTCACTTTATGTTATGTTCACGGATGTGCTTGTTTTGTAATGTTTGTACTGTATTGTGAAAAGATATGGGGTTTTTACGCCATTTAAATTGGCTTTTCCCCATAACATTCATTAAGACGACAAAAAGTCAGATGAATAAATAAATAAATAAATACCAAAGTCTGTTCGGAGCTTTGTTGTACATGCCTGTCAATACGCGCCCGGACGTTGCGATCTCGATTTCCATTCTCGAGCGGCGGGTTACCAAACCATCAGTATCGGATTGTAACAAAGCGAAGCGGATGCTTCGTTACCTGAAAGATATGGCAGACCACGAGCTACACCTGGGTAGTGGTAGCAACCTTCAAGTGGAGTGTTTCGTGGACGCAGACTGGGCTGGTAGGGTCGACAACAGGAAGGCCAACACTGGATATATTTTCAAGTTCGGTGGTGGACTCGTTGGCTGGGGGAGCAGGAAGCAGACATGTGAATCCCTTTCCAGCACTGAAGCGGAGTACATTGCACTTGCAAAAACTGCAGTGGCTGCGTCGATTGGTAGACGACTTGGGCGAACATCTGGTGTTGCCCATTGTGGTCAATGAAGACAACCAGAGCTGCATAGCTCTTGCTACGACGAACAGAACCTCAAGAAAGTCGAAACATATCGACACTTAATCTTAATCTTAAACGACTTATCAAGGATTTTGCAGCAGATGGTATCGTGTCCATTCGGTACTGTCCTACAGAGCAGATGGAAGCAGTTCTTCTCACCAAGCCTTTGGGTGCAGTGAAACTGTGGCAGCTGCGAGAAGACAATTGGGATTCTGTTGATGTGAGGAGGAGTGTTGAAGAGTCGAAGCAAGCAATGGAAATGCAACATCATTCCGTTGCTATGTATTTTCCTTAGCAACCTATATTATACTGACCTGAAATAAAGATTTTCTTCGTTAGAAGTTCAACCATCAACTTGACTAGATGTCTCAAGTTATTTCTCCCTAATAGTCTATTCCTGCGACTGAAACCTTGAACACTAAACACATCCAAAGAAATTAGTAAGAGTTCCATTCGTGTTTCAAACCTCCTCAAAAATAAAACGGAATAGTCGAGCAGTTGCAAATAGGTGCAAAATAGTGCTCCAATAACGAAGCTGATACTCTGCATTGCGAGGGGTACGTTTCTGTTCTAGTTTCAAATTGAAACAGTCCATATAAAATACAACAGCATTGCAACTCCTCGATTAAATTTAATAAATATTTTGCAATACCAATAAATACCGATTTTTTAAAGAGCTATCGTTATTCGACAATAATTTCTGGCAAATCTTGGGGGGCGGGTCTGAATCCGCTCAAAAACGGTCTACGTATTTTATGAACATGACAAACCTCGATGGATTATTGAAAACATTTTGTCTCATGCTGTTGTTAAACTGATAGCTCATAAGCACTATCTGGAGCTTAGTCTGCGAATCAAGAAACTTAAGTTAACTATGTTAATGTTATTTAAATGTACACTTAGGTGACGTGACTTACCGCCACTGTTTCTCCGCTACCAAATGCAAAATATTAGAAATAATACCGAGTGCATCAAACCGGCGCATATCATTCTGCACCACGTTTCATAATCGCTTCGGAATACCATATACTAAAAGTTTACCTTTTCGCAACACCCCATTATAGCTGCAACCGCCTCCAGCTCATCTCGCTGGCCTACCTCTGGCGGAGGGATCAAACCGAGCTGCTGCAGGAGATGATCGAATGCCAGGTGTATGCGATCATCATCAAAGTGGCCGCCCTCGGGCTCATACCCGATCGGCATCTGGGAAAATCCCTCAAAGAGATGCAACCACATCTGCTCAACATGAAGGAGAAGTACGGATTAAACGTGTGCGGCGAGGGCGGTGAATACGAGACGTTCACCCTGGACTGTCCCCTGTTCAAAAGTCGCATCGTGGTGGACGATGTTCAAATGGTAATAAGCTCCGCTGATCCGGTCTGCCCGGTTGGGTATCTCAATTTCACCAAACTCCGGCTGGTGCCAAAGGAGCGTACCGAAACGGTAGTGATTAAGAACTCGCTGGACTTCCTTGCCGACCTCAACGAGAGCAGCTACAGCGACTTGAGTGATCCGGATTTGAGTGAAACAGAGCTGGAGCTGATCGAGAAGGTGACCAATGCCAAGGTGGCAACGATGCGAAATTCCTTTAGCAAAGACGATCTTAGTGGTTCCGTGTCGGACGGACCGAGCGGAGTATCGCGCAGCAATAGTATTACCAAAGATTTCGCCACGGAAGTGATACAGCTACCACGATCACCGGTCAAGATCATCACCAAACGGCTTAGCATAGATGGTATTAATGAGAGTGGTAGTAAAGAGAGTGCTGCAACAACTCTAGCCGAAACACTGGATTATAAACGGGAAATGGAACCACTGACGAATCATCCCCGGGCGATGGTGAATTCCAAAGGATGGATGTGGGCTGCCGGCGTTCAGGGAATAGCTGAAACATCTAGTCAAGCGATGACAGTCGCTCTAAAGACATTAGAAGGTGGGAAAAACAGTTACGTCTTGCGTTCAGTGTGATCGATTAACATGTGGTTTCCGTTTTCAGACCTTATAACCTCAAATTCGTTTACACTTCGTCAGATATGCTACATTACTTTGTATGTGCGCGATATGAATGAATATTCCTACATAAATGAGATTTACTCGCATAAGTTTGGCTTCACCAATCCGCCTACCAGGGTAAGATGCTCGTTTTGAGTGCTGAAAGAGCGAATATCATTGTTTCCTCAATTTTGCAGGTGTGTGTAGAGTGCCCTCTTCCCGATGATTGCCACGTCGTGTTGGAAGCAGTTGCATTCAATTCTGATAAATCAAGTAAGTATAGTTCTGAGTGGTTCGATTATGGATTGGTTGATGTTCTCTCTATTTGTTACAGTTTCCGAACAGGAGCACAATAGACACACGATGCATGTGCAAGGCATCTCCCACTGGGCTCCAGCCAACATTGGCACCTATAGTCAATCGACTAAGGTAAGCTAATTTATTTCCGGATTTTTTTTTCAATCGGCTCATTGAATTCCTGTTTCAGGTGGGTAACATAACCTACATTTCCGGTCAGATTGCTCTCGTTCCGGGTAGTATGACTATAATAGAGGGTGGTATCAAACAGCAGTGCAAGCTCACGTTGCGCCACGTCAGTCGGATAGCTAAAGCAATGCACGCTCAGGGTCAGTTGCGGGACGTTGTTCAGGTTGGATTCAGTTTTGCAGTTGCAGCTTTACGAAATACTTAACACCTGTATTTTTGTTGTTATAGGGAATTTGTTTTGTGACTCATCCCAGCTATATCTACGAGGCCCGCCGCCAGTGGGAACGACGGACGGCGAACGCAATTATGGACTATATCGTAGTACCGGCACTACCTCGCGGAGCCCTCGTCGAATGGCAGGTCTGGACTCACACGCACAACGATAAGTTTGATTGTAGGTGTCTCAAGTTTGTTATAAAATTCGTTGGACATCTACTTAAAGTGTCCTTCTCTTTCAGATGAAGAGACTGGATGTTCAATAGGAGATTATTCAATTTCGATTCGCAGACGTTGGAACTACGAGAACAATTGCGCTTCTGTTGTGTGCTATGTTTCTACCGGTGAGGCTATACAGAATCGCCATTTTCCAATCGGTACCTAATGACCTCTTTTGGTTTCCCTAGGCCTAGCAACATCATCGACCAAGCTAGCGGACCTGAGTGACGACTTCCTGCTACATCACAACCAACTTGCACATAGCATCAGCCGGGAACAGATCCACGATACGATCGCCTACGTACTAAGGAAGCTGCTTCAAGATTACCCGCTGGGGAACAGCCCAACAACCGAGTCCGGTTCTTCATCATCGGACGAACAGCACGGACAAAAACATCATAATAATCATCACCACCACCACCACCAGAGTCACCATAAAACCGATGAAGCACCATGCAAACCGACCGTTCATCTTCGCTTCTTCTATCAGGTTTCGGCGATTGGTTCCGTCCAGTCGCTTGTGGAAGCAATCGAAAGTTTTCTCAGCTTACCGTCCAACACGGCCCGGATCGCATACACCGTCGTTCCGGCCTGCCATTTGCAAAATTTTAGCACCTTCATCTCGATCTGCGGCCTGCGGCATCACGAATAGAGCGTGAGTTGTTTCTTCTTTGCTACGATATTTTTACAAACATACCATTTTCCAATTTTACATGTCATTCAAAAGCTAAAGCAACCACAGTCAGTTGTTCAAAGTCTAAACAAACAGCAAAGCAAAAACCCTTAAATATAATATTACAATATTAAACAAAAGGAGGTATTCCCTGATGCTGTTGCTTATACCAGGAAATGTTGGAAATTATGCGATTCAAACTCGAAGAATGTTATAATAACTCCCGCAGCAGATGTGTCGCAGCAAATTATTTACTATGATACGCTAGCAGGCGGAATGTTTAGAATGCTACTCTTATTCAAAGTCAGCTAAAAATATATATAATATATTACATGTTAATGAAGAAAAGAAATTGATGAACCAATGCAAAGCAAAAGACAAACAAGTGCTGCGATGTGTAGTTTTTTGTTTATCCGAAAGGTTCCAGTAGATACCTAAGTCAAAACAGGAATCAACTGATCGAAAAGAAGAAAATGTGTTCCCCTAATGGCTTAATGTACCGTTTGATATAATGCCCATTTGGTATAAACGCGTAAAATAATTGTACAGCCTCGTTTGCACATAATTGCTTTCTGAAGAAGCATATCACCAGCTTATACTGATACCGTTGGTATATCAAGCTGAACATAGCATTAGGACCTAAACCGTCGACTTTCTCTTTCGTTAATAACTTGATCAGATAACCGTTTCTTGTTGTGTTTGTCGTATTAGAGCTAGATCGCTAGATTCTTTTATCGATCTGTGTGCTGAAAATACATGGGAATGTCTTTACGTGGCCGTGCGGATACATAGAGAAAGTCGACGAAGAGAATCTGTCAATGTTATTTAGGACCTAATGTTCAGCTTGATAGACTGTACCAAAACATCATCCTTCTGTTCGAATGAAACCTCAAATCGAAATCGCTTTTTCGAATGATAGCTGCAACCGGATCTCGGAATAACCCCCATTGATACGAGAAGCGAACAGAATGATTGTCGTCCCAAATTGAAATGCATATGGTATTCTGCCCATAAAAGCATAACTGTTCCATATGAATAGAAAATCAAGCAAAGATGGGACAATTATGCGAGTATCGGCAGTATTGAGGGTTATTCCGAAAGTCGAAATGACTTTTGTCACTAGTGAAGTGAGAAAAGTCACGTCGTGGTGACGTGACTCTCCATTTGATTTGCACAGAGAGTCACGTCACCACGACGTGACTTTTCTCACTTCACTAGTGACAAAAGACACTGCGACTCTCGGAATAACCCCCATTGATGCAGCCCTAACAGGAAGATGAGACAACTGGGGCCTTATTACGGGTGTCACTACACGGTGATAAGGAAGTGATACTCATAATAAGAGCCTTGATTGCCGTACAAATCAAATGGGAATCACTTCACCGTGACAACAAGTGACAAGTTTTCACCGTGAAGTGACATCTGTAATAAGCCCCCTGGCTTCTTTTTGTCTGTGACGTGTTCTTCTTCTCTCGCGGAAACGACCGTGCTAAAGCTATTTCATTATAGGTGACGCATTCGACTGTCAAAATACAAGAAAATAGATCCCCTGTTGTAAAACTTCTCGCGTTTCTACACGTTCGCCCGACCAATCAGGCGCTGGTTCGCGTTTGACAGAAAATTGGTTCATAAAAGTCCCCCTATTGTCTCCTACGGAAGCGTTCTTCGTAGCCCACTTAACCTTTCCTCACAGATCAGCTTTCGCTACCCGTATAGTGAGTCAAAGCCGCCTCCTTGTCATGGTGGTCTTTATTTAACCGCTTGGCGGCACGAAGAGCCTTCCTCCTGGCTTTCACAGCGATTTTTGTAATTGGCCCCCACCACGGAAGGGCCTTTTGTCCTGCGATGGTACTAGTTCTAGGAATCGAGTCTGTTGCCGCTTGAAAAATTTAACCGATGTAGTACGAGAGGGTGGTCGGGTCGGATTCTCTTCAGGTAACGGTGGTGACTCTTGATAACAATCTGCTTGATTGTAGATGCAACGTGGTCTACGGGAGGCTTCGGTTGGTCTACAGTCGAGTCGGATTTCGTTTGGGTGGTGGTCTTCCATGACCTTCCACAGAAGGCGATGGATTATTCCTGAGCTGGCGAAAGACACGTCGATTACGGATTCCCTTTGTCCACTTGTAAAGGTTGTTGATCCTTCTTCTTCTTCTTCCTTGATTTAACGTCGGTCTCTGTTCCGCAATCTAGTGCCAATCACCAACGGACATCGATTGCCATCCATTGACGGCAATCGAATTTGCAGGAAGGCAGCTTCCACACCTGCATAGGATATCGCACCCATTCAACACACATGGGCCGGGACCAACGGCTTTACTTACCTTCCGAAGGAAGACGTGACCAGATATTTGTATACCGACCTCGGCTGGGATTGAACCCAGACCCATTGGGGTGAGAAAGCAGTCACGCTTACCAATACATCACCGGCGCCGGTGGTTGTTGATCCATCATTGAGAGCAGTTAGATCAACGGTTTCAGCCGCTTCCAGGACATCGAGACCCCTGCGGTTGTTTAGAGGGCTGCCCCATGCCAGGTGATGGCCGTTTATAGTCTGGCGGATAGAATTTCGGGAACCAATTGAGCTATCAAATAGCGGAACCAATCGAGCACATCACGACCAACAACAGAAAAGAGCACATCAGCTTTTGGGAACAAATGTTCGGAAATTCTTGTGACTCAAGGTTCGCCTACGCAAAACACCACCACCATCGGATTGGAGAAAGTTTCACCGACCCGATGATGCTGTTGATTCGCGTTCGGTTGGTGACGAAAGAACTATCACAGTTTTGTTTATAAAAGTTAATCGTTCCTTTTCCATTGTTGGTCTACAATATGTGGAATTGGTTCCGCTTTTTGATACATCTAATTTCCATCCGCCAGACTATAAATATAGCGACTATAGTCGATGGAGGAGAGTAAAGAGACTTGGATAAAGAGGCGACACCTTATACATTTGACAGGTCTTCTGCTCGATTGGAATAACTACAGTGCCAACATTTCAAAGGGGCGTAATTGCATTTGTAAACAATGGCTTTAGTCGTCGATTTCTCGCGAATAGTTGTAGTTGGCATATGACATATCTACGCAACGCAAAACGAAGAAAGTGACGTTGAACAGATTCAATTCTCTCGGCACCGTTGTTGTAGTTTGGGTTCCAAACCGCTGAACAATACTCAAGCGTCGATCGAACAAGCGTACAACAGAGAGATTTTAGACAGTAGATATCAGTGATGTTTTTAGCTATCCTAAAAATGAACCCTAAAGTTCTTGACGCCTTATCGATAACATATGCAATGTGTTGCTTGAATGAAAGCCGCAAATCCAAGATCACACCCAAGTCTTTCATCTTAATCACGCGTTCGATTGTCGAGCCAAGCCGGTCATAGCTAAATAATATCGGTTGTTGTTTTCGTGAGAACGTAATAGCGGAGCATTTGGCTACCATTCTGTTTAAACTGAACCAACTAGCGAATACATTCAGCTGACGTTGAAGAAAGTGACAGGCAGCAACGGAGCAGATTCGTAGGAAGATTTTGAAGTCATCTGCATATGATAACCGAAGAGCTTCGATGACCAGCTGCACGTCGTTGAAGTACAGTATAAAAATCAACGGTCCCATGTGGCTTCCCTGAGGTATACCTGATGTGGCGAAGAAGCTAGCTGATCTGTAATCTCCTATGTCAACCTTTAGTTGGTGACCGGTAAGATATGATCGAAACGAAACCAACAGTAAACCCATGTTGATCAGCACTCAAATACTGATTGCAATTGGACAGCAACGGTTCCATAATCACAAGCTCGAATAGCTTCGAAACGGCACTTAACGATGTAATTCCTCGATAGTTATCCACAGCTCGTTTCCTTCCTTTTTTGTGGGCGGGAAACATGTGCGCAAATTTGCAGCAAGATGGAAATATGCCACTGGAGAGAGACATTCACAACATGCGAAGAAGCGGAATTAACAAGCTAGCAATATGTCTCTTCAAAAATACAGATGGAACTCCATCAGGTCATTGTATTGCACATCGTGTGCTATGCTTTGAACTCGAAATGTCAAGCATACTGATATTAAAAATCTATCACTTTAAATTTAACTCATCTATCCTTGGATTTCATGTTTGCTGAATATGGATTCAAATAATATATTGCCTTGTTAATACTGCAAGCCTTGTTATATGTTATTCAGAATATGACCATAGAATAGATCAGTGCTAACATTTGAAAACGGCGCAAAAGCCATTTGTAAACAAATGGTTTGTGGGCCCTTTACTCGCTACCCGAAGAACGCCCACGCAAACCAACAGCATCGTCAGGAAGGGGAAAATTTCCCCTACCCGATGTTGCTGTTGTGTCGCGTGGGTGTACTTCAAGTAGTGAGTAAAGGGCCCACAAACCATTTGTTTACAAATGGCTTTTGTGCCGTTTTCAAATGTTAGCACTGAGATGACCATGATTCAGAGGTCCAAACGTCATAATTAAGTGATCAAAATGTGTATTTTTTAAAGTTCTAAAAGTGTTCTAAAGAATAGTTTTCTCCAAATACAAAGCAAAAAAGGTTATAGTCAACAAACTGTTTTGTCATGAATCACCCTAACCTTCTAGTTGTTTCAGTTCATAGAATGCGTGGATGATGAGATAAAAATTTGACGTTTTCAACAAAGTTGCTTGGTTTTGCATCCTCTACAACTTTGAAGAAGTAAAAAAAGTTCCCAAAAATTTTAGATTGTTGAAGTCACCCTAAAACTGAATCACCCTAATGAATGATCCAATGAAAAGATGCGCTTTTTTTATTACCAACAACTCTTTCGAAGACATCAAAACGCTACAACCAGTATGTTTTGCGGAAAACCCAATTTCCATGTATTTTCCCACTCTGGACCACTGTGCAGTGACTGCAAGCGGATATTCGAGTCTTATCCCCGCCACAGGTTCAGGTAGCTCAATAAATAGCGGAGTGGTGGTGAAGGGAAGAGTTGCTTCTATTTCGATAGCAGTACCGTGTTTCCCAACATCCAGCGATATGTCCCGCGAGAGTCCGATCCATTCTGTCAGTGCTAGCACGATGCACTACTTGGATAGCCAGAATATATGGGTTATGATCCCGGACGAGAATCTCCAGGTTGTTAAGGTTGTTTTGGTATCTGTCCATGTTCCATGAGCAAAGCATGAGCCGAATGGGGAGGGTGATTCTGGGTTTATGTTTGACTTTGAGCACCGTTGGTCGCGTGTCGGCGATTTTCTATTCAGGGAGCCGTCAGCTTGGAGAGACATAGCAGGCTATTGCTGTGCTGATATTGTTCGCTGCGTCACCAGCTGGCTACAAGTTGTGTCATTGGCTTGAGTGTTCGCTGGTGGCTGGCGTTTATTCCGTAGTTTCTACG